GGGTGTGGCATAATACGTGGCAAACGTATTTTGCTCATCGAGGTGATTATCGTGATCCGATCGAAACCATAGCCAAAACACAACGAATTCTGCCTAAAAGCTCAATGGCGTTCCTATTGTAGTAAGGAAGGATTAAAAAAAAATTTGAAAAAAAATGGTTGATCGACGAACCCGTGCTTTTTCCCAATAAATTCATTGTCCATTTAAGTGCGACAATAAAGCCTAGATGGACCAATGTTTTGATAAGAGACGTCGTCGGAAATTTGGACAAGACGATGACGAGGTTCTAGGACGAGGAATATTCTGTGATAATTTACCACCCTCAGAAGCAACATATACGTTATTATTATTATATGAATTAAGTACAAAAAGTCTAACGCATCTATCGAATCTGTTAAGTCGATTTAACATGTGTAGCTAAAACAACCTGTTATAGTGAACATGAGCTGTTAAAACAATATAACTACATTAGATCAACGCTTCAGTATTTAGTGCTTCATCTAAATATATCAGATATACGATGACATAACTAGAATATGCTAACGTGTCTGGCTGGCCGTAGCATCTGTGTAGTCGTATAATGCCAATGCCTGAAGTTATTTACGGTCCTAACTCCCTAACCCTTGGACACTACCCTAGGCAGAATGCCAAGCTGACCTTCCACGATGATAGGCGGACCGACGCCGACCTATCGCGCAGTCTTATGTGCGGTAAAGTTATGTGCAAGTCAGCGGGCAAAACTCGAACGTAAAACGTAGGAGATAGTCCTACGTTTTACGTTCGAGCTTTACGTTTGATGTTACTATTGAACTTGAATGGCTCGCAGACAATGCCCACAATCTGTCCGTTTGTTTCGTTCGTTCCCTGTCTCACATCGGCCCGATCTTCTATGAATAAGCAAATATCGGCGGCCTATTCTGGAATCAAGTATGAACAAAGGGGAAGAGGAGAAGCCAATTATCTCTGCTGCCATTTAAGCCATTCATGCTGAATAGCAAGAAGTGACTGGTAAACGATGTAGCTTGCGTATGATAGCAATTACGCAACGTTTTATAATACATCATATATGAGTAGTCGTTTACCGTCGAAGACGTCACACCTCACGTTGCATGATTACTAATATTTATTTAAGTCACTACTTGTTTGAGTGTGTATAATTAAGAGGTAGCAGAAGATCTATGTATGACGAAGTGTATATATATACAAATGCAGCGTTTTCTTGCACAGTATATTCAGCAGTATCATCAGGTGTGGGGTAAGAATCAAGGGCATTCGTTCATAGTCGCCGTGTTTGATATGAAAAGCTTAAACGATTCGGTTTCAAGTTAACCGTTAGAGACAAGTTGAGCTATCAAAAAAAAGTTTTGCTATGTTCAAGTTATTCATATGCGAAGACAAAATAATCAAACTCTTGCCTCAAGTTATCTAAAAAAAAAAAAAAAAAAAAAAAACCTAGAATTTTCAGTTCAATTCATACGAAACCGAATATAGTAAAAGAACGGTTGTAGTAACATTTATCATGCGCAGCAAATCTGCAGGAATCGGACGCATCCGAACAACTACGGGTTTGATAGTATCAATCTCTTCATCTGACGGTGAACGTGGAAACGAATAGCCGACAGAATGGACTTAGCAGGCCGTAGTTTTCTTTTACAACAACGACGACGGCGATTTGGCCTAAACCTAAAAGAATATACAGATCAAATGCAGCAAGATCAAACGATCCTTTACAATTGGGTTGTATGATGATTGATTATTTCAACTCGTTCGTTTTTCCTTCAAGTCGTAACGTTCCTGTCACACGGCATGAAGTCTTCCGAAACCTCGCTATGCCATTCGAATCGGTGTTGATGTTCTTCGCCCGAGTGGTATTTTCGTCGCAAACGGCTCCAAACCGAGAGCTCAAACTGATCGATTCACAATATCATTTTAGTAAAGGATTTCAAGGTTTGATGTGGCGTGCTGGTGTCGAATGGACGTCGCCTGAGAAGGTTAGCGAGTACGGTTGAACGAAGATTGGGTCGCCAACAACGATGACAGGCGAGATCAAGGAGCTCGCTTGAAAGCGGATAGTAGAGAGCGGCGCGACTTCTCTTAACGCAAACAAATGGATTCAAAAATATAGTTGCTGCAGGTCGCGCTGTACCACTTGAGGAAAAATTTTGATAATGGTGACTTGTGATAGAGGGTTATGTTCGTTTCATACGACTGTCTGTCGATGTCAGCGTGTGCTCGTGCTCCATAAACCTTTCTTCATCCACTGCTGTTGAACTTTTATGTCGTTGCGAACCGGGCCTCGGGTTCTTTTGCGCGGTTGAGAATGTTCCGACGTACCATCACGCTACCTCACCATACTATGAGGTAGTTTTGTGCGGCGTTCAACACTGGCCGGCGAAAAAAGCTTCCGTGACGTGTGCTAAGCTGAACAACGGAACAGGAAGTGACAGGCTTTCTCAGGGACAGCCACTGGCATACATCTCCGATAGATGTCTTCGAGGTTGAGTGGCCTTCTCCAGCAGTAAAAATCCCCAGAGAAAACAGATAGAACCGTATTGTTTGTTCCGTATAGGCGCGCCGATGCACGGCGCTCGAAAGTGTATATGACGGATTCCGAATGCGTTGGGGCTACCCTGTAGTGGTAACACAATTAACCCTTCCATCTTCGTGCTTTCAATAGTTGAATACTGTACTGTTTCAAAATACATGCCCCCTGCTTTTTGCCATTGTCTACTATAGTTGTCTCTCTTCCTTATGCGTGCTACTTCATGGCGTGCAACGAATAGATCTAGCAAATGATACTATACTTGTAGACTATATGGCCGTAATCGCTTGGGTAGCGTATATACCGCGGAAGTGGTATTTCACACCGCGAATTGCGGGTAATTAGCTGATATATGTACATAAATGGGCGACGTAGACGGTTATCTTTTAAAGAGCGCGTAAAAATGATGACCCGTAAAGGTCCGTATACTGAAACGTCTTACTTCACGATGACTGGTATTTTATAAAGCAATCTGTAATAATATAAAGATGACGCAGCACTATCGCATTTTCCTATCAAACTTGAGGACATGTGAAATGGTCTAGGTTCAAGGCTGGGCGTAATCAGGTTTCGTGCAGGGAATATGCCGTCTGTACGTAAAATGCAAAACATTTAAAACAATCACAGAAGTTTATTCTGTATAACTACCAACATGAGAAGGTCTCTTTCATTCAAGGGGTTTGCATACTGGTTAGAATATAAGGGCGGCCATAATCTTGTCACTCCAGGAACCCAGGAAACCATTTTGTTAACAATGTTATGAGTGGCTTCTTCTAAAACAACTAAAAGTTAAGGCAAAATAAATTTCAGAGAAGCTACTAAGAAAGTTATGTTTGCGCAGTTTGCGGAGCATTCGCAGACTATTGGTTCGTGAAGAGATGCAATGTTTTGCAGTTCAATAGATTTACAGAAGACCATATTTCCACGATAGAAAGTTATCATGAACACCTTGTAAGCTGTTCTTATGATGAAATGGGGCCGGTCTTCTGAGCAATGTAACATTCAGGAATAAGCAAGGCGTGATAAAGGTTCAAGTAAAACCTAAAAATCTATATATATATATATAAAATAAGAGTTCAGAGTAAAATTGCATAGTCATGATGCAGCTTTTAAACATTTAACAGAGCTCTCAACTTGATAATAAATAAATGTTTATATCCAGTACACACGGCTTCTGATCGTCGTCTAGAAAATCAATGGTATTATTTGACGTAGATGACATCATTTTGTCTTTTCATCCAGGATGCAACTTATACAGCCGGCTCTGGGACGGTAAGTACACCTGCTGTCCTATTCATCTCGAAATAAGTTTTAAGGTCATTGGTGTTACGTTTAGTCTGGTAGGGACGTTTCCGAATAGGAGCTTGAAAACCCAATAAAATGTGTAGGAGGCCAAGAGAAATGCGTTTCGGGACTCCGGACGAAGGCTTTGCAGAGGCTAACAGGGAGTGCTGAATTTTCACTTTGAATAAGCCAATCGTGAGAAAGGCAACATAAGTTTATAGTTCTGGGGCCTATATACCAAGAGCACATGCATAACTAAACCCTTAAGCTTAATAGGCCGTGATTCACTGTAAAATGCATGGAAAGAATCAAAATCACCCTGCTGGAGTGCAGCGTAATCGTTTTTGGCGTGTACTGAATCGTGGGCTACCCCTAGCACTTGAATGCAGGTTGATTTCATTCTGATAAACCTATGTTGGTCTAAACCCGAGAGTCGGTTTAGGTAGATATGTGATTTACAAAGATGCTTGCCATGGCAACGCAGAACAAAAATTAAATAGAACGCTCCATAAAACCGCGAATTGAAGTAGACCCCTGAGCACTGACCACTATTACATCACCATTATGGTAGAGTAATAAATTGTGCAGTACCCACAATTTGCAAATCGTTTCTCGATGTGAATTACTGTCGGCTAAACTATAAGCTTATTTTTGCTTCTTCCTAAATATGAAACAGCGCCTTTTATCACAGATGATACTCGACAATCCCAATTTGTAGCTTCTTATTGGGTTACCTACTCACCACAGCAGAATTTCGTTAAGGGTATATATTCATGTTTAGGTTAGCGCATTTTCAAGCAAGCATTGTAAGGCAAAGAAATCCGTATGTGAGTGATGCCAATACATACCATCTAGGCGTATACTTCACTTTTCCACCAGCCTAATCCAAAGCGCCTAGACATTGAGATAGACATTGTAAACAAGCGCGTGAACTTTACTAGATATAGGCCACAGTGAACGAATGGATCAATCAAAGAACATGCCCGTCAAGTAGACAGACATAGCTGGCTTGTTGCAGAAGTCTATAAACGGTATAAGTCGGGCCCACTTTTCTTCCCACCAATCAAAAAGCCCTTAGCCAGCGTCTTGAGATTATATCTCGATCACCCAATTCACTGTTACCTATATACGATAACCGACAAGACGATAGCTGGATCGACTTGAAAAGCTTGCTCGAGAAAATAGCTGGTCCATATATTTGATTAAGCTGTCTGATCTATATCGTGATCATGGTAAACAACGATCTGCAGGACTAAATGTGGTAAGTTTTCAGTGGATATTTGAGCTTCAGGCAGCAGCAGATATAGGCGCACAAGCCTTTTCTCCCACATTTTCAATCTTGAATACGAGTGCATTTAGTGTGGCGGCGAACACAAAACGAAGGCCTCGTGCGATGGGTATTACGCGAAAAATAAAGTGACTTATTAGTGATATTGTAGAACGCTTTATAAGCCATCCTTGAGTGAAATATACATACTTAGCATAAGTAATAATAAAAGCGACCATATTCTATTTTTTTTGCCGAGGAATCTAACATGGATGCCGCATTATTAGACAGCTGCGGTTAAGCAGTACTGGACGTAATCTTTCAGTAAAGCTTCAAGACAAACAAGCAATGTAGAACGGGGGTTGCATCGCAAAAACTAGTTTTGTGTCTCAGGTCAAGTAAACCTAGGAAGACGAGAACTCGCTCATTTATAGGAGCTGAGTAGGGCTAAAATGGTATTCAAGCTAAGCTGACTAAGATGGTCGTTTGTTCCTTGTACCTTTGGTGCCTTAAGCTATTTACCCTGGCCTTAGGTTACCCTCTTAGGCCATTTAGCAATAATGGTAGCGTAAAAAATGTGATTGTATACCATTCTGAGGCAGCAAACCATACCTTTATTGACAAAATATTAACGATCTGACTTCAAATGCGATGTCTTTTTCTAAAGCGGAACATTACAAATCTATTCTATGTGAAAGAAGCCTTCTTTCATAATTTTCATTGGGCTACAAATAACTTCGCTGGTACATTGTCTCTGGCATAACCGTTTCGTTTATTTCGGACGGTGTTTAGATCAGTGAGCGTGTTTGTTTTTCGATAGAATTCCAAATTAGGCAATGAGCCTCGTTTTTGTGCTCAGGTTGACTTTCCCTGTAAACTTTGCGACGTCATGTAACGCTCGTCAATCTCTAAGGAGAACCTTGCCGATTAACGCAATCAGAAGATGCGTGCGTACTATATTTCAAGCCCCGTTTCCGCCAACAAGCTTCATGACTGGCAAGGGTTAACTTATAGCTTATGTAAAGACAATCGCTAAAACATCTGTAAAGATGGGTAGACGACGTTCGTTTCGGAGACGTTTGCGAGATTCATCGATCTTTCAGATAAGCATCTTTATACCGAATTGATATAATAGCTATTAAGGCATAGCGCCGCGATAGATCGGCCTTTAACGATTATGTCCCCATACAATCGCTGCCAGCGTCGCCACTGCTGCGCTTGCCGTCCAGACAGCCGGCCTTTCTCCAGTAGTCAGGACTGTATCTGCTCGGTAATTATTAATCCTTCAACGTTCAAGTTTGTTCGTACCGAAGGGCGCAGCTAGAGTGGGAATGGACAGGGCACTTACAGTATGGTTTTCGGTCAATTACAATGGTCCTTCCTTCGAGCCTGATATTGCGTGTCATATGTATACTTGATACGTTGTACATATTTAAAATTATATTTTACTAAGTAGTCTTATGTGTCGTATGTATACGATAAAAATGTAGAATAGGATTTAATATCACATGTGTCGGTCTCAAAACAATAGCCCCGTTAATATCGCTTTCATTGACTCCGTCTACTTATATGCCAGTAGAATGGCTCTGCGCATGGTCTATTATCTGTATTATCCTGTGTACGATCAGAAAGATAAATACGGGATACATTTCGAAGTTGTATTTTCTCCGTTCCGTTTTTCCCACCCTAATGTATGCACGTAGTTTACTCCGATAGCATTTTTTTGCGAATCCAGCAACCGGATACAGGTATAAATGTCAAGTAAGATGGAAACGTTAGAGAATGTCACTGCTCACTTAGATTTTGCGTAATTGACGGAATCACACCTGTATAGGGATGAATGTGATTTGTGTCTGAAGCGTAGAATATAAGGATATTCGAATTACTGGACTAGTGTATCTCTATAGAACTTTCGTTTTCGTTAAACAACAAACAAATTGTCCGTTAGTACAAAGCGCAAACGCAGTCTTTTTTTTGCTTTTTGGCGTAACAACGATCTCTTGTTTTTTTTCCTTGAGAACCTCAGTGTGCTTTCGGACAGACAGCCTTGCAGCAAGCAAAAATCAAAAGGTTCTAGTAATACAACAACGCCGAAGTAAATGGGTACGCGCAGTGTCGGCAACGCACACAAGAAAGCACCAAAAGGCCATCGGATTGTGCACACCCTTTACATGCGGCCAGCTCGACCAAGGGACTGTTATTAGCTAGCAACTCTTGATGAGTTTCTCTACCTTGTAGTAATAGTTGTAGCAGCAGCAGCAGCAGTTACTTATCTACGAAGGAAGCTGTTTTAGTGTTTCGGCTCAATGTCAGTGCCTCCTCACTTCACTAGATCTTCACCTCAGCCGTTATCAAGGTCTCAATTGCTACACTATCCTACTTGGTCCGCGTCCGCTTTTCTGAGGCAGTCCAACTTCGCAAACCAGCGAGACACGAGCCCAAGCCAGATGGTAGAGAGGAACACCTGAAATTATTCCACTGCACGCGGATCTGAACACATGCCTAAACTGCTTAGCCAAAGATTACTACTTTACCACGTCAATCTCCTACTATCTGTCTTCTTCGAAAAATTTCTACGGGTTATGCTCTCTACCTGGGTCCCAGTTAACCAGCACGGGGCAACGGTTTAAGCAAGGCGTCCTTGCATTGCCACCCGGGTCTGTCCACCATCCCTTTTTTACATTTCTCGCTATCCACTCAAGTAGAATCTCCATTGTTACACATTTCACGTATCTGCAGCGTGAGCTATATTCATCGCGGCAAGAGCTGCAGCCTTACATGCCACATGCATCTGTTGGAGGAAAATTCGTTGGGGTTGTTAGGGGGTGCGGTGCGCATATCCACTGTCGGCTGTATCTTTCTTCAAAGTATACGTTGTCATTGCAAAACTTCTTGAATAGGAGCTAGCCTGTTCCGAACACGGTACACAGGGCTGTCCCGCGACGTAGAGTATTCAGCACGCTATAAAACTAGGACAGCAAGAATTGCAAGCAATAATCAGCCTTGCAAAGAACAAGTTTGTACCCGAATACTATAAGAAAATAAGCTCCTGTTCCTTTGGGCCTGTATTTGTTTGGCCGAATAACTTGTGCTAAGTAAAATAAGTGCTTAACACCTTTCTAAGGTTCGTAGAATCTAATTGTTATGTCTTATATTCATTTACATGTCCCAAAACAAATGTTTACATCCGATTCTGTCGTGAAGCGTTGTTTCAAACTGTTTTATAGCTGGACTACCATATTAAGTGTCTTTGTGCGTAAAAGCCAAATCCATCACCACTGCATCATCACAGCGACTCTTACCTAATTCCAAGTTAAGATTGATAATATTGAGTTTTGTGAGTTCCTTTATATAATATACCGTAATAAGTTTACGGTTTTGCTTTAAGCGAGACTGGCTTTTCAGCGCATGGACTCTTGTTTGCTCAACGACAGCCCTTGAAAAGTGTATCCGAATTTATTTCGAAAACTCTGTACCCAAAATTCAATTGCTTTAACTTTAACACTGGCGACTGTTTTCAAATCGAATCCCACATATGCCAAAAATCCTTTGCAACGAGTTCCTAAAATCATCAATAGTAAGCACTGCGCCTAAGCCCTACGTATGCTATCGTTTATACCTCTAGACAGACTTTAATAGAATACGTCATACCTGGTCAAAACGCTTTATTAAGGTCATACGTAGCATTGAATTGTTCCAATGGGTAAGCGTTAAAATAACTTTGTTGACATGTCCTAATTTTCCCTAGTTTTGATTCAATCTGGAACTCGTGTTATCGTACGAGTTTTAACTGATCTGTTGATATAGTGATTTTTACGTATAGGGCTGTTCTCCGTCTGCGGACACCACACAGGCGTTGCTCTATATTTAGGCAATTCTTCCCTAAACATAGCAGCCGTCTGTTAGCTACACACTGACAAATTTTTTTAGATGGCAAATGCATCATGTATGACATATATGGTTGGGCAACTGTGTGTCCCTCAAAAATGATTTCCTTTTACAGCCGATACGGGCAGACAACGCAGACCGAAAATCGTCGTGGTTACGTGGCTAACAATATGTTAAGGAATTCTACCATGGCGAATTTGGGTTCACCTATGCATTGTGCTGCCTCTCGTTATGTTATTTCTCGTTTTACTCGTTTCTCTCTGCTGGCCGCGTCTTGTTGTTGGGATGTAGCCAGTGAAAATATGCGTGAGAGTCATATAATTTTGAGAACGGCCAACTACCACAGTCAAATAGCCCGTAATGGCGGTGCCTGTGTGTGGATAGTTGCGTTTTCCCCTCTACGGCCAGGCCCCGGCTATTAGGTCATAGAAGCGTTAGTTCCTCGGACGTTGTTGAAACCCCGGCAAAACGCGTGTGGTTCAACCTTAACGTAGGCTAGCTCTGATTCTGTACGCAAAGCGTAAACGGGCAGAATAGAATACAATAAAAATATGTTGATAGATCATGGTAGCGAATGCGTCGGCACTGGCGGTATAGTATGAAAGAACGACACAATTTGTGACTCAAAAGGCCCGGCGGTTTTATGCCGTTTCAACGTCAAGACTAGACGTCTACCCTAGGAAGCAAAGTCCTTGTACACCCATGGCTGTTTAGCGTCTGCGGCCAAACGAAGTGTGGCCGCTTCCATTCATAAAGTAAAAAAGCCAAGATCCTGTCCCACGTGGAACGTTCCATCTCTTGCCTAACCATTTTTTCCCTTATTTTTTTGCTGTGTGTTGACATACCCTGAATGAGTGGCTAGCCTTTGCGATGACAGCGGAAGGAGGCGACAGTCGAACGACAGACCGTGATCAAACAAACAACACAGAACAGAAGTTTTTGCCAGCTAAAACAGAAAGTCCTCACTTGACGCTATCTTTTAAAACACAGCCTTCCTTTCCGTGCTAACGCGCAATGAAGAAAAACTTTACTGGATGACATTAACAAGTTATTCTTGGAGCAGTTGAACAAACGAAGAAGGAATAATGGAACATCAAATGACTTGCAAACAACTAAAATTATCGCCGTTCTTCTCTTACTTGTATTCAAAACAGGGATAATAATGGGTTTCCTTCCATTCATTGGCTTAGTAGCGCAAGTGGTAAAAGAAAGTAGATTTTTCCCTGTAAAAGGCTACAAATAGAAGGTCTACGAGGACGTGGAAAGTAGCCACACGTAACAGTCGAAAAAGACCCTTATTTATAGGCTTATCAAGTTTTTGTGTTTGTTTGAGACAATGTGATGTTCCAACTGGATAGTCTACAAATGGTTTTAATGCCAGAGTCCAAATGTACATTTTGATAGAACTCATGGCTAAAGTTACGTAAATATGGCTAAATTCTTATTAAGGACGGCTGCTGACAAAGGCTCCGCAACAGCACGCCAAGGACTCATTATCAATTCTTGTTCCTCGATAGCAGCAGCTCCGCTATTTTTGGCTGACAGATCCATTATTTATGCGTCATGTTAGGTATTACAGTTGAGGAAATAAAAAGACGCATATTGTTATGGTTTGTTATTTGCTGTTTTACAGCATGTATTGATTACTTACACAGTTGTAACGTATGCATGCGATCTTTCTTGATTCCAAATTTGTGATTTCGCAGACTTCTGTGATAAACACCGTTAAGCCAGTGTACCAAACCTTCCTCCGCTGTTTTTCCGCGCGCACAATTTAAGTTTATTACTAATGTTACGCCCTTTTACTCTGTTAGATTTGTTTAGGCTTACGCTTGGCACTGTTTTGTTCAGGTTCCTCCCTCACGTTCTTTCAGCAAATCCACTGAATTATTCGAGTCAACTACCTTACTGTATTGTACTATCACCTTGTTACCTTACAGAAAAAAACAGATAAAACGAACCTGTTCATATCATTTTGAAATCATCAGAAAATCCTATTTCGTTAAGTAACCTAATATAATAACTAGTAATTTTAAATTTTCCTGCAATAAAATAAAAGTAGATAGTTTCCTTCAAACCGAAAGATGGTCATCGTTCTGTTCTACTGTAGTTCTTGTCACCCCTTCACATTCACTCGCAGTCAACATATCTATCCAGAATATTTTTTTATCCAGAATTTTTACAAAGAGTTGTAAAAGTAAATTTCTCGATTTGAAGTATTCTAAGTGCTTATCAATAGTTGCATAAGCGGCTTATAGAAAACAATTGGAAGCAGGCAGGAGGATCATATGATACGAGGTTTGTTACACTAACTACTAATACCTACTAAAAGACAGATTACCGATAAAAGCGTTAGAGGAATTGCGTAAACGCGGGGCCTGTACTATAGTATGAAGCACTGACGCGTTTAAGACTATAGGTATCTTACATACCGACCCTACATAGATAGGTATAAAAGGTTACGTACATGTCTAGTGTCTATGTCAAGTAACTTCTCGATCACTTTTTTAATTGACTGGTCCTGTTTTTTTTGTTTGTAACATATAGACTTAAGAGGCTAAGTCAGCCACGTTTGTGTTCGGGCATATTTTTGTAGCAGGGGAGAACGGCGAAGAAAGGCCAAGGAAGGAAAAGCAGTCAGATTAGCAGAGGAGAGAGCGAAAGATCTGATATGAGAGCGCGGGAGATCTCTAAGCCAAATGGAATGTTAGACGGCGAAAAAGCCATTACATGTTAGACCATCCGGTCAGCACAACTGGATTCCTAAAACGACAGAAGAGAGAGCAGCAGGCAACTAGGGGGCAGAAAGCCCCAAGTCCAACATAGACACGATCGAAGGACCCGCCAACCCAGCGACGACCGACTGCAGAGAAAGCGCTAAAAGCGCTAGTTGGTTCCCTCATCATGGTCGCTTTCGGTCAATCAACGGCCTCAAGAGCCCATTGCTGACAGAGAGAAGGCACGAAAAAGAAAGCAAAGGTTGAAATGACGAGGCAAACGAGGATAAACGAAGTACGTCCAATACTGCTGCTCGCCCAATGACTCAGTTACGTGCCTGGGCTCACGACAGCGTCAAGCCTGCCTCTCTCGCCCTTTTTCGAAACCCCTACTAAATATTACGCGCTTATCCATGTTTTCCTCCTAACGTGCCACTCAGACCTCCTCGTTCCTCCTCAATAACAGAGTCTGACTAACGAGGGGAAGCCGGATGAGATCTTATTCGATCGGTGGGAACAGCTTCTCTGACTGGCTCTTTGGCGGCTTGATGGACAAGGTCAATTTTACCGGAGGTGCCCGCAGGCTTTCCTTGTTTCGGCAAACTCGAGTGGCCTGCGGGAGGACATAACATGAAGACTTGCCTCCGACTGATGATCGAGGGCCCGGTTTTGTACCGTACTGTCCACGACGAATTAGATGATCGCATCTACGATTTGCTTTTACGCCGCTGCTGCTTTCCCTGCTCGAAAACAGGGACGATAAAAGCGGAGGAAGTAAAAGCGATGGAAGGAAAAAAGAGATGTAAATTTTGATAGAGTTTTCGAAAGACCTCTAAGCGTCCGTTTCCTTATTAAGTATGTTGAAGCTTTTGGATGAACAAACCTGTTGTGCCAAGCATACGAACCTGGCACTACTGTGTCGATGTGGAGGGTGTGATACTGGCGAACTTTTGGGATTATTCTGGGAACTATTGGGAAGTAGAACTTGCCTTTCATGGTGTATTTTTGGTTATTTTTTCTGCAGCTATATAATAACTGCATATTGAATTCACAACAATTCGACAAAGCATAGGATTTAGAAAAAAATTTTATTACCATTTCTTTGGTGGTATGCATCGACAACTCGTTGAGATTCAGACGAAATCTATCTAAAGATAATATCACGATGTCAAAAGGAGTGTAAGCTAGTACCCAGCAATGATGAGTAGATCTTGAAAAATAAATGAAGTTCGGGATTATGACATCGCTAAAAACTAGCACGTGATCAACCCGATCAAACAAATGATTACACGCATGACAAACGTGTGCTTCGAAAAGGGGTCAAGCCATTTCTACGTTGGGCCCCGAAAATGATCCGACTGTTCAGGCTTGCTCGTATCGTAAAAGCGTATCTGGTGCTTCTTGTTTTAATGGCAACATGCTCTCATCGGGTGATGCCATAGGAAATATCTAAGAGCAGGAGTAGTTTTACTGCCTTAACAGTATACACGACTCCATTTTCGGGTTTATGTGCCTGTGACTAAATTGTTATTTAGTAACAAAGCGCCAATGTGGCAATTGCCATTATATACGCATTCATGCGTTGGTGAAGTTTCTACCGTTATAATTTTTGTTTTTTTACTTCTGTAACAGCGTCATACACCTACCCTGCCACATAACAAAAGCGTAATCTCAGACAAGACAAAATGTCTTGAGTTTTATGTTTGGCACCGCCGTCAGACGTTTCACTATACGGCTGGCTCCTAGCACACGATAAAGTGTATATGTATCCGGATTCGAGCGTAGACCTTCACGCGTTTCAACGGTAAGGCGTTCGCATATATATTTTTTTTATTTACAGTTACTCGAAAAAAACCAATAGTGAGATGTGTTTGCCCATCTGTTTCTCTTTTTAAGGTATAAAAATCCCTGTGATCAGACCAACTGAAATTAGAAAGGTAAAACAGTTGGAGCTGACGCTAAATATTCCTTGGCTTAATCCAGAAGGTAATTAGGGCATGGCATATGGAATCTGACATTGTCGTCGAGTAACCAGACTACTTGCTTTCGATTGCCGCGTCAAGGGTCCATGAGCCTTTTGAGAAACTTGGGGTACCTGTAGATTGTTTCGTTTTTGACTAGTACCTTATATGATACCTATATATAGATGACACTAGGCTTATTTAACGTTCGAAGACCGCTACCAAACTCGATTTCTCTCTCTAGAACGACGCCATCCTCTAGTTTAGTCTGTTTTGGGCTCGCCATAGAGGTTGAAGCATGCCTCGCTTAGAACGGGGCCGGGGCAAATACAGCCGGGCTTTTTGTTAATTAAAGTTGCGCAAACTGCACATAAACTATACCACACACATTTCCACCTGACCTAGAGTTAATTTTCTGGCTACTAATTCTTAATCAGTTCCGCATTTTCAGCATTTGGATCATAACACTAGAAGACGCTGCATGTGACATACCAGTTTTGACCGACGAAGCCTTTAGACTCAAAGATTTTCTTTCGTGAGGAACCTTTTCGGTTGCGGCTATGCGTTCTTAGTTTTCGGGTCCCGACATTTGGTCGCTTCGTTGCTGGTCTTTGAGATGCCAGTCCCTGTTCTTAAAACGTTTGCCCCATTCACGTACTGTTCAGCGTATCCTATATATACATATACACATGTACAATACAGTGAGATATTAAAAATTAAAACAGGTTGTGATGGGCTGCCCATCGCAGTGGGCAGGTGTTAATTCGCTAATGTGTGTATTAAATCGAAGTAAAATAACAAATTCATCATGCCCGACGCATTTCATCACTGCATTTCCAGAATTTAAACAAAGATCATCTATTATCTAACCTTTTTGCGCTAAATAAACTCCCACTACCTTTTTAAAATCTTCCTCTTTTTGCTTTAAAACGATGTCCTATGTTTTTTTCCTTTTTCACGCATCTTCTGGAAAGTGGGAAAAAAAACTTTTATGGGGCGAACCGGAAGGCTTTCAATAAAGATTTGCATGGCTCGAAAATAAAAAGCCTTTTTGATACATCTGTTTTTTTTTAAACACAATCAAACAACAGTTTCGGAGAGCAGAATATTGACGGCCAGTTTAGGCTGTTCAGATGAGCCTTAATGGCTGGTTGTTTTGAGCCTTTTTGTGTCTCTCAAGTTTCTTGATCGGTTTCAGTTTTTGCATTTTGTAATGTTCGGCAAACAAAGAAAAATCATTGAATAGTTAAAATCTTTCGATATGCATTGAATGTAGTATCGAATCTATCTCGCTATTAGTTTTTTCGGTTTTTTTTTTAACATAGTTTATAAATAACACACATTGCATATACTCGAATGGGTGCAATCTTTGTACAATATAGATATGATTTCTACTAACAAAATAGGTAGGATTTCGAATGGAGCTATATCAAAAGATTGCACATGATTATTTGTAGGCATATTTTGTAGCTATTGTTTGATAAGCGATAATTCCTTTAAAGAGTGTGATTTGATCGCTAAACTTTTAAAGGCTGCTAACCAAAGGGGCTGTCAGTGACGTGGCTACAAAGTTGACGCAGACCGTGTTTTGAGAGTAACGCATGTAAAAACAGTTATCCGAGAGATGGTGTGAGACTGCTCAGTGCATGAAAGGGCCCCCATATTTGTTCTTCGAAATTTGTTCACGCCCTTTAGCTGAAAAACTGAAAGATCTATTTGAGGCCGGCGTCACTAGGTCGGAACTCTAACCATGAGGAACACAATGGTACCAATGATACCCCGCAAGTGGACGAGAACATCAAGGTTTAAAGCAGGACAACGCAGGTAGCGGGTTTTTGACGCGAACCGCTAGAGAGCTGGAGTTCGTTAAAGGCTATGAAAAAATACAGAATCAAGTAAATATACGTTACGCCATTTTAAATCCCCATTTGACTAACGACAGATTAAAAATTACTTGAAATTATAGTTCCATAATCGATTCTCAATAGGAGAAAAGGCCATCTTTTGCCTTAATTCACTTATAGCGTGTTGCTACAGTCGATTTTGCCGATTTCAAGGTGCAATATGTTGATTAATTCTTTATTAGAATATGAACGCCGCTTGCAGTGCGGCCTGCTGTAAATCAACAGAAAGCCATATCGTTGCCATTGGAAGGCAACAGAGGGCAGATCATGCGTTAACGAAGTGTCCGTTAAGAGGATCAAGTTAATGGGAACGCTAAGCTGTTTTGCACGCCTTTTTTTATATACTGATGGTGTGGATACGTACACAAAAGATATAATAATGGTTACATAACTTCCAAGACATTGTTAGACTGACACCAAATTTCCCAGCTAAATATCTCATAATTATGGTGCATATTTTTCCAGTATAATTACTTTCCGCGGTCTCGTACCTTTGCTTTCTTCAATCAGACAGATTCAGCGAAAATTTTAAAATAGTTAGTAAACGTTTCCATGAAAAATGGGGCATGCCTGTTGCACCGTAGAGATGTTTTTCGTATCATGTACGGACTCACAGCTCTGCGACGAGCACGCGATGACGTTCGATCGTTGCAGGCTTGCATCAGGCAGCTGTAAGACATCATTAGTGCCCAGGCTTAGCTTAATGTACCTAGTTCAAACGAAGACATATATATGGCGTTATTTTATCAATTCGAAAGATGCGGAAAGCCTTTCTCTCGTTACCATTCCTATGTTTCTTGTGCAAATAATTATCGTTCTTTTAGGTCAGTGTTTTAAGTTTGGTTGGGCAATTTTTGATAAATTTAGCAAAGCGTGACGGCTTTTAGGTCAGCATACACGTCCACAAGGCCTGTTCGACATCTTGCATTTTGTTGGCTTGTTCAACAGCATTTTATTTTCACCGTCGATTCACTCATTTGGTCAACTTAAGCTTTTTAAATTAACGAATATGCAAAGATCATGCATATTGCCTAAAACATAGATTCTAGCGAAATTTGGAAAGAGTAAAGAATTCGAAAGTAGGCAGGTCGTCGCACAATGGACCAAGTTATATTTACGGGAACTTCAGCACCTTTTCGGTCACTGCCTATTAATGGATCGTGCATAGAATCTATTTATGTTCTTAAAGTGAATGTTGAAACTTTGCGGATACATTTACCAGTGACAGTCGGCTACCCGCTTTATTACACCTGAAATGAGCGCAAAATAGTGGGTTATCCATTAATACTTTCAACAGAAACACAAGATAATGGACGGAAGATGGTAGCGAATTTTCTGTCAACTCACTGAGTAGAGGGATGTTCCTGGATGAGCTGTACTCCATGAAAAAGGTTAATCTTTGCCGGACTTAATATATCCACTGTAGTTACTTGACTCGCCATTTTGGGGCTTGCCGTGTACACTGATAATGTACACGGCATCCTCATTCATTTATAATAGTAGTTGCTTAATCGACCCCATATGTTAAACTACTATTAAAACGAATAAATGTATTGTAGATTGTGATGTAGGACTGCTTGTTATTGATCTACGTTTCATTCGTTCTGTCATTTGTCCCGAAAAACAGGCACAATGGTACAGATATAGGATTAGAATTGAACCCGTTAGGTTAAAATAAATAATCACGAGACAAGGCAACCATTCCGACTAGGAAAATTTGAAGCCGCAGCGTACATACACATACAGTTTCTTTACGTACCTTAACTTTCTTTCGCTGCCCCACGTATTTTAATGTTATATTTTTTTCTGTCCGTTTTGTTCTCAAATGGGTCGAATGGCTTTGGAAAAGTGGACTTTGACCGGTGGCATGCGATTACCTCGGCGACGGCTGTACCCTACTCCGGTGCCGACTGTGGAAACGTAATTTCCGTATGCTGGACACTCGAACCCGCGCTGTTAACGCTAGCACCGCCTGAGCCAAACACGAAAGAGCGTTCCTAAATAATTTATCAAAGTAGCCAGCGTTCGTTGCATTATCAAAATCGCAGTGATCAAAGCAACCATCAATCTTCTGACGACGTTTGTTAGAAAAAAAAACCCTGAAAAATTGTTCTTTCTCAAAACTTAATGTCGCCGAGTGGCCCGCAAGGCAGACACGAAGCAGAGTGTGAACCAAAGCTGGCGGGGAATCGCTTCAGCGGTTCTAACACAGATAGATCTGCCTACTTCTCCTATACATATAAACGCATAGCCAGGGAAATAACTGCGAGTTGTACCTAGAAAAAAAAACGAGATATAAAGAAAAAAAAAAAGAGAGAAAGTGGAGAGGTCTTGGTTCTACGGGAGGTTCACAGCGATAGGGATGGCTCTATATGCGGCCGCGATATATTCGGAGAAAGCGTAGAGGGCGGAGAGGGGGCGTGAGGCTGACGTCGGCAGTGGCTTCTCCTAAGTGCATTTTGCAGTAGCATTCGAGAGACTGTTGGGTGAGGGAAATCGGGTTAGGAAAGATCGGCGGTGGAAATGGGGTTGTGCACCAAGCATCGTAAAGGCAAAATGCGGTCGTTGTGGCGAGGCGCAGACGACGATTTGGGTGCACCGCAAGAAATAGTTTGCGAAGGCTGACGGAAAGAATTGCGATGTGAAGAAAACATCGACCAAAGCGACGATATATTGGGATGGGGTATGGAAGATTTGATGTGCAAGAACGAGTTGCAGGGATAGAGAAGATATTTGTGGAAATAAAGCCAAATCAAGCACACTCGTTAAAATACAATTTATTAATTAACATAGAACCCGGGTGGTAAGGAGCTATTGAGCAAAATACTATTCGTAGTTACACTTGTCTAAATTTATTACTCCGCTCTTGAAATACACTCAATGGACTTAAGCCTGTCACCCTGTGCTCGATTGGAGTGGATGTAACGATGTTATTCTAGATGACTGATCCCTAGCACCTAATGAAGTCTGCACCATGTTTCGAATCTAGATCATCTTACATGTCTTTTAGTTTAGTAAGCGAGCATGGTAGTGCTGCACCGTGATAATTCACAGAGTCTGGAATCAGACGATCTCCTGCGAAAAGCATTTTTTTTATAGCTGGAACTGGAAATGTTGTTATTTTGTATGAACAGTAAGTTCAAAGTAAAAAGGTACCGGTCACACGTGTACAGTTACTCGAGTAATCCTACTGATGCCTTAAATATTATTTGGTATCAAGCGCACAAAAATATACTGTATATTTATTTTATTACTTTGATTACTATATAAGCAGCGATATATCTATATACTTCTTGCTTCCATTAATTATGCCTAATTAACTTGTGATCACTTTAAATGAAGCGGTCGAAGCGATCAGCTAGATTAAGAACACAAAAGTTTTACTACTCAAGTAGACATAAACAATTAACTCGAACGAGCACGCTTGTTCTCTCTCCTTTAGTTTAGGTTAATTAAAGTTACTCTGCAACTCAAGCGTGTTTTAGTGGCCTCTTGTAGCTACCTATTACTGCCCTGAGATGTAAGCTTGTAAGTTCCTCTACATTTAACAGTGAAAAACTCTGAGCTAAGTACTGTTGTCTAACTATATATATATATATATAACGAACATTCTTCGAAATAATAGACGCGTACTAGTTATCAGACATTTTCTACTGCATCTAAAAAGCATTTGGCTCCAGCATATGTGAGTCTTTTTAAACATTTTTTCTCAAATGGTGTCTCAGAGACGAAAGCAAGACCTAACCCTACCGGTGACCGGTGAGACGCCCGGTGGCACACTCGGACATTTTTTACAGACTATTTTTACTTTATTTCTTGAGATTCTACTTTAATGTCTGTAACCGCCATTATAGGTAAAGTTGACGCAGTACGATTGGGTTTCAAATTTTTTAAGACTTTTCTCTCTTGTTTGTACGATTTAAGCGGCTACGAACCACTTAAATGCAATGCCCGCAAGGCTTATGGCTTAAGATGGCCTTCCATATCGTACAACTATTCAACATAACTCACCATAATTAAATGATACTTCGCTGTGATATAAACGAGGGCTATCCGTGCGACGCACATGTGATGCATTTCTGCTACGTAGAGGTTACCTTTGCACCTGATGCACAGTTAGGTGAGCCCTGAACTGAATACCTAGGTTATTCCAGATTTAAAGAAAATTTTATATGTAATTCCGCAGTTGGTAAGGTGTGCCGAAAAGTAACTTGTCTGATTCCTTAACGCACATATGAAGTGCATGATTCCCATTGAACTTCATGGGAGTAAAGTGTCCCGCCTTCTCGAAACGGCGTTTACGTTTAACGTGTGTAACCAACACAGGCCACGACTCTTTAGCTGAAATCCTAGACATCCTTAATGGTAAATGCTAATTAATTTTATACAGCAGAATAACTAATAACCATAGAGCTTATATATATCACATCGAATTTTGTGTAATTCTTGCCCAGCATTGGCCTGAGGTAAGCTCTCCTCTACCATTTATGTACTAATATAAAAGTCTATACGCATGTTTGACTTAGAATAGGATACTGGTCAGTATATGCGATTTTGAAAAAGGCTATCCAGCTTAAGCATTTATCTCACGTTTAGTAAAGGGAGAACGAAGATCAGATAGATTATATCAGAGTAACGTATTGTATTTTTTTCAACCTACCTTTGATAATTATGATAATTCCAATGGGTGTACAAACACTTTTACTACAACCATAAAGCGGTGTTCCAGGGCACGTTTGCGACTTTTGCGCGAGCCTTTTGCTGCTGAAGTATAACCAATTTCTTCTTGAAGGAACTGGGCTATACTTTAGCATGCACTGGGTTATCTGCAGCGCTGGTCCCATTCAAGCTGTGCAGAGTAGACTCACCCAATAATGAGTTAGCCAAGCCTCAGAACTCATAGTAAACTATGCTTTTATAGGGTCAGCAAGGGTAATTGTGCCTTTTATTGCAGGCTCGTCCTTTTATCCCCTTGTTTATCGCATTGAACCCGCTTTTCGTGATTGCGTAGCAGCAAGAAGCAAACCTAAGAACTTAGAAGTTTCAACCTGAACTTATCAGTTGACGAGTCAGAAATCCACTTTCTAATTGTGAATGCTTTACAATAGGATCTGAACACCTAAATTTCTTGATAGCAACGGCTAAAAAACTGCCCAAAATCGCTCATAAAAGATGCCCATTAAAAGTACTCGTAGAAGTGACAATGTTCAACCAATTTCATGTGTATAATAGTCAACATTTCTCGTAAAAAGATGACGTCGTTAAGGGCTCCAACGGTGATAGCGAAATCGAAAGAAATAGAAGTTGTCCAAGACGCTTCTCCATCTCTACAACCGAACGTACGACAACTGGATAATGAAAAACAATTACTATAGTTGGGAACTTTTGTGTTATCTCGGACCTAGATTTTTAATTATTTATAAGAATTTAATCTGGGTCTTAAATTCATGAGTTGAATACGCTTATGTTGAACAATTGGCATAGAGTACACAACGTAAAAGTGTATATCTAACATTTATACTAGTTATGAGATGTTTTATTATTTACCAATGGCCGTAAACGTATGTTTTTCATCAAATAACATATCCGGCCAGTCTATCCAATCCTGTGTGTTGTATAGAAAATTTATGATGTTTATACTTGCGCCGGCTCTATTGGGCTATAGCGACTGCTCGCTCTAGACAAATGGCAGCGAGTTTGTCATCGGACGCGCATCTCATCTTATCTTGAGGTACCATTTTCTAAACAGGCAGATTAAAACAGTACTCCTTGCCATTACCCGATGAGCTGAAATGTTTTTGATCTGTTTTTCAAAGCCTCCTATTTATCTATCAATCTCGTATACATATCGAATCAGATATCGGCATGCTGTAACGGCATATATTATCATTTTAGCGTCAAAAAGAAATATGTCGTTTTGTATTTCATTAAAATAGAGAACGAAAGTCGGGATCGAAGCTCATAAAAAAGTCCCCAAGCTCATATTAACAGCATAAAGGTTAAACTGTATAGTAACTGCAACAGCGAGTACGAGTAACGATAGGAAATAGAATCAGATCAACCAGATGGCGCCCAAATACTACACTATGATGTACCCGGACTATGCACAGTCATACAGAGGGCTACAGTGCTACAAGGTTATTTAGCTGGCTGGTCAGTCATAATGCTTTCTGCAGAGATCCAAGCTCTGGAAATGTTTCCGCCCCCTAATCCTTAGGAAGACAGTCTAAGAAAAACGTCAGGCATAAATTCGCAATGAGTCGCAGCCCGAATCGTAAGGACGATAGTACAGAATAAAAAGAGAAAACAGGGGAAGAGCGCCAATTGGTGCACCGTCGCCCTTGCCCAAGCGAAAGTTATCGATGATACAACACAGCTTATCGGCGTCTGCTGAGTCTGGCACGTAACGGCATCTTCTATTCCGCCTGTGTATTATGGAAGTACCCTAAATGTGCTTGAAAATATCGCGGCAAAACGGCGTAGCTTTCATTGCGGCCGTCTTTTGCAAGGCGGTCGACCGAGTTTTCATTGTCGAAAGGATCTTAATAATAAAAGGGCAATACACAGGGATAGCCTGATCACCGACTGCTTTAAGCATAGAAATAAAGCTAGGGGGCGCTGATAGTAACTGCGGGCTATCCGGTAAATTGGGACATGTTGAAAGAGCTTCAAAATCAGTTGAAACAGACGAATAAGGGACTGCATGGATTGAATGATAGAAGAAAGGATACAACAGCAGAAGAAAATATGAAGTATCCCTTTACGAACGATGTTTGATGAAGTGGAGCTGGTAAAGCTGCACTACTTATTCGAAGCGCCGAAGCTAAAAGTAGAATCCTGGGAATTGTGAATTGTTTTACGGGGATGATAAAGACGGAGTACATTGCAGAACAGCACCAGTAGGAAGGCGAAGATGAAGGCTGATGATGTCCGAGAAATGAAGAAAAATGGAAATACTCAATTATGCAAAACCAAAAAGAAGCGCTCAAATATTCTATAAGTGCATGTCTGTGTCCGCTTGTGCACGAGAACATGCCCTAGCTTATATCTGTCCTGCAGGTACCGGTTAGGGCAATGGTAGAGCAAGGGTAAGTGTAGTTTGTACAGCATAGATATTTGGCTAATGAAATGGCTGAAAGAAAGGGAAGGAAAGAAAAAAAATCGAAGGGACCGACAAAATGGCGTAACCTGCCGGTAGGTATGTATTCGGAAAATACACAAAAATTATAAGTTTCGTGAAATCGTGGTTGATAGAAGGGTAAAGAAGTTGTCTCGACTACCGAGAAACAATTTAGCCTATGGGATCAACTCAAGTAAATATCATCTTTCTATACTTACCACTGCGATGGCAACCTGCTAATAGAATCTGCCTTAGTTACTAGTTAAAGCCAACCTAAACTATGGGCAGTGGTGTACCCCACAACGACATCTCAATGATGATACTGTGCTGACGTATATGTTAGAGGTACAAGTGGTCTGTTAGTTGTGTAACGAGGGCAGATACGATCATCGGGGGAAGAGGAGCAGCCATCCCACGTGAAAATCTGATCTCTATCGGAGGTTACCGTCACAAAACCCAAAAGGTCTGATTTTTAGATTCAGTTGTTTTTGATAATTTGACGAGAAACTGGCCTGCGTGCTTAAGAAAATTCATTTTTATTTTGCGAGAATTTAGTGATGATATAATTAATGCGCAT